CCTCATGATGTGGCCAAAGTACTTCAACTTTGTCTCTAGTATCCTTCCCTCCAATGAGCAGTCGGGCTTTATTTCCTGGAGGATGGACTGGTTGGATCTTCTCGCAGTCCAAGGCACTCTCAGAACTTTCCTCCAACACCACAGCTCAAAAGCATCTATCTTCCTTCATTGAATAATTGCCTATATGTAAGCCGCAATGAGTCCCCTTCAGGGTAGAGAAAAGTGGGGTATAAATTTATTTATTTATTTATCCTATTTATACCCCACTTTTCTCTACCCTGAAGGGGACTCATTGCAGCTTACATATAGGCAATTATTCAATGCCTTAAAACACATACCATTTCAATAACATTAAAATTAGAATTAGAATTAAATTAACATTAACATATATTAATCATTTAAAAATATTCCATTCCATATTAAAATCAGACCATGCATAATTGTAGTCCAAGTTGTTCCATAGTCATTGCACATATTCCAAATCTGTTATTGCACTGCACTGCAGATATGGACACATGAACATATTGTAATAACAAATCTCGTGAAAAACTTCCATTTGTATTTTTTAAAATATGTGATTTATTGCTTCTTTCACATAGATTTAGAAGTTTCTAGTTCTGTTCATGCAACACACCTATACACTGTAGCCAATGCATTAAAGTTCTGTGACACAGAGTTTTGAAAGCTCTACCCTAGAGACTGTGGAAGTTTGCCAATCTCAGTTTATCAGATCGGTTCTTCCCCTGTTGGTTGGGAAACAGCTGGCTGATGGTCCCATCCATCTCAAGTACAAGTGTTTTCTGACTAGTGGAAATTGCAAAAGGGGTCCTATTTCTGCTTATAGCATGCCTCAATCAACAGGGTAACAGATCCCCATTGAGCGCAGTGACTGCTGCCTGAGAAGTGGGAATTGGATGAGTTGGGATGGGAGCCACTGCATAGCACTGTAACTACAATATTATGTACTCATTTGTCACCACCACCATCCCAGGCTTCCAGACCCATATAGATTGCTACATCACACAAAAAGAGCAGGTCGACATGTTTCCTGAAACAATTTGTGCCTGTAAAACAGTCAGGTCAAGTAAGTGTTGCTTGAGTAAAAAAGATTTAAACTTTCTAGAGTCCACTTGAAGGCTTCTTCCAAAAGGCATCCATGGACGACTTCCTCCCACCAGCCTCCACTTTTCATATGACTTTCGTTTTGGTTACTAGCCATATAGGTCTATACTTTTTAACATGCCGGAGATAACTGTTGGGGGCAGGTTTATCTGTTCTCAGGCATGTAGCCGGGGGAGGGGGGGGTTGAGGGGCTTCAGCCCCCCCCCCCCGAAATTCTCATGGTGGTTCACGAAAAGGCCTTACTGGTGCATTATTTAAACTGTTATGTTAATTCATATCATGATATATGTTGTTGTTGTTCATTCGTTCAGTCGTCTCCGACTCTTCGTGACCTCATGGACCAGCCCACGCCAGAGCTCCCTGTCGGCCGTTACCACCCCCAGCTCCCTCAAGGTCAGTCCAGTCACTTCAAGGATGCCATCCATCCATCTCGCCCTTGGTCGGCCCCTTTTTCTTGATCACCATACTCAATATATCCCATATGCATGGGGGTATTGGGGTAATGATACAAAAGTTTGCTAGGGTAGACCCTCTTTCACTCAGACTCAGCCCCCCCGAAACTCAGCCCCCCCCAAACCCCCCCCTGAAAAAAATTCAGCCCCCCCCCCAAACAAAATCCTGGCTACGGGCCTGTCTGTTCTCCTCTGTTCTCTCTTTTTTGTGGCTGCTGTTGTACCTTGCATGTTGTAGGGAGATATACATACCTGCAGCAGAAGCAGCCAAAGTAGAATTCCACACTTTTACAGCTCCAGCTTTGCTTATTGCATTGTTTATTCCAGTTCCAGCAGTATAACTTGAAAGGGATCATCTATGTTTCTCTATTCTTCCTTTGCCATCCTTCCAATGATCTGTAGTATTCTGCGAAATTAACCAGAAACTTTACAGCTGGACAAGAACAGGGAAAAAAAGAGGGACTGCATGGATATAAAAAGCATTTGTTAAAAAGGAGCAGCAGAGTGGCTTTGCTGGCAGAAATGTCATCAATTGAGATACCTAAAGAATTGTGCTCTTCAAAATCTCCAAAAAGTGCAGTTCTAGATGTCTTCTCTTGGGAACACAAGCGGACAAATGTCAGTGTGCTGGAAGAATCAAAGACCACCAGTGTTGAAGTAGTGATCCTCTGTGATCAACTTCGCTGGACTGGCTATGTTGTCCAAATGCCCGATCACCGTCTCTCAAAGCAGTTACTGTACTCCCAACACAAGGAAAGAAAATAGACTGCTGGTGGACATTAAAAGAGATTTAAAGCTGGTCATAAAGCTAACCTTAAAGACTGTGGTATAGACACCAAGAACTGGGAAGCCCTTGGGTGTTCTAACTGGAGGTCAGCTGTGACCAACAGTGCTGTGGAATTCAAAGAATAGAGGGAGAAAGGAAGAAACATGTCAAGAGGAAGGTGCATTAAGCCAACCTTTGTCGGGACAGCCTTCCATCTGGAAATCAATGTCCTCATTGCGAAAGAAAATGTGGATCAAAAATAGGTCTCTACTGTCACCTATGGACTTACCACCAAGATCCTACACTTGGAAGGCAATCATATTTGGCCACGGGTGATAGCCTATTATGTTGTTGTTGTTGTTGATGAGATGCCTAATCTTTGTGCGCCTGCTATAGTGTCTAAATGTGGACTCTGGTAATAAAAAATTGAGGTTTTTTCTGCTTGGCCCATACCACCAAACTGTACAGCCTTGGCAGTGAGAATTACAGCCTATTCTCTGGTTTGGAATAAGAGAAAGTTGGCCCTCAAATCCATTAAATTTCCCCCTTTGTATTTTAAAACTCAAAACCCAGCTTGACTCTGCATTACTCATACTCATAAAAGTAATAAGGAGGGAGGATGTTCTTCTTCCCATTTTCCAGAGCATACCAATGACAGCAAGAGAAAAGATATAACCAGATTCAGCTGATGTGTTCATAGCACTGAGGTCATTTGGACTAAAGTTTTGGTGCAGTGTAGTGTTTACTGAACCCTATACACATAATCTTTTAGTCCTCATTCTGCCTAGCATTCTCCCCTTAAGGATGCTTAGCTTTCAATTAATATAGTTGTGTGTGATTTTTTTTACATTTTTTTCTTTCTCTTTCCTCCTTTCCAAAGATAAAAACAAAAAGAAGCATGAATAACCACTAATGAATGTGGCCCATAGATTATCTTGCTAATGGAAAGTGTATTTCCCTGACAATTAGAGTGCCATGTTTAAAAGCACATTGTGAGGATGCTTTGGGAGGAAAAAGCAAAAATAGCTGCTTCGACACCACATATTGCAAATTGCTGTTACTTTCAAAAATAACTTCATTGCATGCTAATACACCACCACCACTTTCACCTGGAGGCAAAGAATATGTAATTACTGGAAGATCTGCTTAAATTAGAATGCTGTTTTATACAGATTTCAGAAAGATAAAGATGCTTTGGAAACACATGTTGAATTTGGGATATCTGTGTTTGGCATAATCAAGATCTGGGAATGGTGCGATGGTGCCCTCAGAGCTGAACTTTAGGGCAAAAATGTGGGACTCCATTCATCAGAATTAACATACTGTTGCTTCATAATGGACTTTTCCTGACAAGGCTTCCCCTCATTGTGTTCCTTTGCAGCTGGGGGAGTGTCACCTCGTCCACTGTGGAACACAACAGTGGATTTGGCTGTTAGTGAGACATGCCGCATTATCATAGGATGCCTATGCACTACACCACTGGAGAAATTATATTGTTTCAGAGGTATTGCACCACCTAACCAAGGCAGTGACATCTCCAGCCCATCCCCTGTTCAGATATTAGCCAATGCCTTAAATCAAGAAATAGTTTTCTGAGATACTTGCAGGAACATCTTAGCAAGTTAGAGTCCAAAAGTGGCAGACTAAAACCTGGAACCTCAAGCTATGGCTGATACCGAAAAGGAGACTCCCCCCTGGACACACAGAAGACTGGGTGACTTGGAAGGCACTGAACACCATGAGATGCAGAGCCAACCTTAAGAAATTGGGCCACAAAGTGGAGTTCACAACATGCGAGTGTGGAGAAGAACAAATCAAAGACCACCTATTACAATGCAACCTGAGCCCTGCCACCTGTACAATGGAAGACCTTCTTGGAGCAACACCAGAGGCATTCCAAGTGGCCAGCAACTGGTCAAAGGACATTTAATATAATGGCAAGTTTTTAAAAACTGTGTTTTTTAAATACATTATAACTGTACCCTCGGTTCGCTTCTGATATGATAAATAAAAACCTCATCCAGATATATAATTTTTTTTATAGCTGAGCAGGGATCCAAACCCAGGGATTCAAACTATTGCACCACACTGGTTCACATCGAAAGCTTTACAAAAAATTCAGTAAAAAAATAATAATCCAGCATTCTCTCTAAAACACTTTGTTAAAAAACCTTTAGTTTGAAAAGCTTGTTGGAATGTAAAGAGGATTCCTTTAGGACTTCGATGGAAAGTTGATTCAAACACAATGAGGGAAGATTCAAACACAATAAGGGAAGTAAAGGTTTTTCTCCACTCCTAAGGTGACTATTTTGTGAATAAGAATAACACTTAAAGCGATACACTGCTGCTTGTAAAGACTATCAGTTTTATGTTTCAGATAATTATTGTATATGTGTTTGTTTCCCAATTTTCTTGTATTGCACAACACAACAGTTATTTCCTGATTAAGGACAAAAGAGATTCCAAATTAAACAAATTCTTGATGTTCTCCACTGAAGCACCTGCTTCTAGATATTAAGTGTGTGAAGATTGCGTCATTTCCCTGTCTCCCTCAGACGCTTTATTGTTAGTGCAGAATTTGGAATATCCTACCTTGCGATCTTTCATCTTATGATCACTTTCTTACAATTTCTCGTTCTTTTGTTTTATGTTGTTAACAGAAAAAGAGGAATTGTTTCAAAATTTGTTGGTGCAGGTGGTTGAACAGTTCTCAAGGTAAAATCTTATTACAATCATTTTAGAAATGTTACACCTTTATTTCACCTACAGTCATGCACTAGAGTCCTCAGACATCCTACTGTTCCATGTTTCTGAATACTGAATGTGACATCTATGAGCATGTAAAAGTTTATGCCGTCAAGAGGGGAAAGTTACATTACTTTAGGATTATAATTTTCTTCATTCCTGCTTGAAACCAAAATTTGCATCTAACATGGTGGGGATATAGAGCTGAGTAAAGAGGCACATGGAATCCTAACAGAACCAGTCTGAAAGACTTGTGATCATGGATGATGGAAGCATCCAAAGATGACAATGTCTTTGGACAATGAGCTAATAGGAAATTACTGGTGTTTTATGCTTTTAATGCTTTTTACAGGGTTTTTATAATATGTTTAATTGTTTTTAATTTTGTTTTAATTTTGTTTATGTTCATTGTGGCATCGAATCGTGTCAGTGTAAGCTGCCTTGAGTCACTTTTGGGCTGAGAAAGGCAGCAAAGAAATGCAGTAGATAAATAAATAAACCAGTGAAGAAGGCTTTCTTAGCATAATGATAAATTAATTTGGAATTTATTTATTTATTTATTTAAACTTTAGTACAATCTCTATATCCACATGGCCTACATTTCTGAACTTGTATGCAAACATGAAGCCATGGATAAGAGCAAATCCTGCTCAAATGAATGACTTCTGCCAGAAGTTACCGTAAAGTTGCAATGGAATATCCAGGAAATCCCTAGAGAGTTTGTCAGCCCACATATGTAGTAACTTGCAGTGGAAGAACACCACAGAATCACCTAGAGGACCTAGAAAATGTCTAATAGGGATATATTATGTTGGATGTGGGTTAGTGAAATTGGAGGTACTGATCTGCAGGGGTCGTAGTGTATTTATATCATGTTCTTCAGCCAAAAAGCCTCCTTGAGTAGCTTACAAATGATTGATTTGACAGTTCTCTGTCTTCAAGCTTACAATATAAATAAGACACAAAACATAAAAAAGGGGATTGGCAGCAGATGGAGTACAATCCAAATTAGATGATTATGCCAAGCAAGAAGACATAAATGAAAACACTTCCAGAACTGCAGAGGCATATAACCCAGTTTAGAGTCCATGTGTGAAATTTAACATTTATAGTACTCAGTACATACATATTTACTATTCCACATATTTATATGTACTCAGGAAGAACCAAGTTTGCACTTTTACTGAAATGAGTGCAGAATGGCTGTAGGTGAGGAAGGTCTGTTGCCTGTACCCTGAAATCTTTATGGTTGCCATAGGTCACTGGATTAGAGCAATAGCCTATTACTGAAACATCTTCACTGTCTTGTTAATATTTATTTACTTCTTATTTTCCTATTTTATATATACACACTTAATCAAGTATATTATTAGATGCATCAAAAATGCCTTTATATGCCCATTTGAATCACCAATAGTAGTTCCGTACTGCATCAGATTGCTTAAGCTGTTGAAACTGTGGGTGCATTCCTGGTAAACTTTTTTTCTCTCCCTCTAGGGTATTTAAAATTGATGAACTGAAAACTGAAGTAACAAATCACTTGGCAATGCTGGAGAAAAAAGTTGAATGTGAGTGACTTAAAAAAAATAAGATTGAAATCTAGAACTGTTTTTATCAGCTTGATAAAATATGAGAAATATCATTTTCAGAGTCTTTCCTCCATCTTCCTCTTTTGTGAGCTATGAAACAAATGGAGAACAAAAACAGATCTTTGACTGTTGCTTTTTAACTCATTATCTTTTTATTTAAAAGGGATTCTCTGATTCTAAGTTTCATTCCAGTTCTGATTATTAGTTGTCATGTTGGTCGATTATTGAGTATTATGTAACATATTACAAGAAGTCCCCGGTGACACAGCAAGTTAAACTGCAGATCTGCTGAACTTGCTGACCGAAAGGTTGGTGGTTCTAATCTGGGGAGTGGGGTGAGCTCTCACCGGTAGCTCCAGCTTCTACCAACCTAGCAGTTTGAAAACATGCAAATGTGAGTAGATCAATACGTATCACTCCAGCAGAAAGGTAGTGGTGCTCAATGTAGTCATGCTAGCTACATAACCTCAGAGGCATCTACTGACAATGCCAGCTCTTCTGCTTAGAAATGAAGATGAATATCACCCTCCAGAGTTGGACATGAGTAGACTTAATGTCAAGGGGAAACCTTTACCTAACATATTACAACTTTTTAAAAACATCTTCTACTCCTGCTAAGAATGATTAGACCCCCCCCCCCAAAAAAAATCCAAGGAGCTATTAAAAGTCCAAATGAGAAGTTATGATTATTTAAACCTTGAAGTTATTACAAACCAACCAGAGATCTTCATTATGGGGTGGCATGCAAATATCATAAATAGATAATGAATAATTGTGCATTGTGCATGAACTGATTCCCCTATACAGCCTTAGCAATTTCCACTGTGCTCCATTACCCATCTTTTCGTGCTTTCATTGATGTGATGCATGTTGCAAAAATTGTTTACACAGGTGTCCTCTTGCACGTGGTCTATGCAAAACACACATGGTATGTGTCCCAACATAATTTGGATAACAAAGGACAGCTCTGTTTCTCTTTGATAATGAACTGGATGAAGCTCTTATGTCAGGCATAGAACACCCACTCTTCCATTCCCTGCTTCCTCATTATGGACTGCATAGATGTTCCCGTTCTTCCTTATTTGTTCAAGAGCAGAATGACAGCAAAATGATTGTTGGTAATTACTTTGGCACAATAGAACAAAGCCGGCCTTGTCAGAACAGCATCATATAATTTACAGAGCACATCTAGCAGAGTGGAGGAAGGAACATCTGGAGCAGAGCAACCACGGCTTCCGGAGAACAGCCACAATAGCCAGGGCTAAAGAAGGAAGGCTGGATGTTCAGCACACTCTTCTTTCCATTACGTGTGTTCTATGTAAAACAACAGATGACAGTGCTGATTGTAGTGAATTTACCCATGGAATTATCTTAACATAATGCCTACATTCATGAGAGACAACGTGGTATAATGGATTGAGTTTTGAGCTAGATATCTAGGAAAACCAGGGTTCAAATCCTGGTTCAGCTGTAGAAACCCACTGGGTGGCTTTGGACAATAGCCAAGCCCCTCTACACAAATCTCTCCAAGAAAATCGCAGTAAAAGTTGACATAGGGATCATATGCATTGGAAATGACCTAAAGGTGCAAAGACCAAGAATTACATTTATAAATTACACCATGTACATATCTCTGCTTTATGAAGAGCCCGTACTCCAAAATACAGGATTTTTGGTCATGGGACTACGTGACCAGGGACCACTTTAACAAAGGACCACTCTCCAGCACTATTACCAAAAAAGTTATGAATCAGTTTTTGGTCAACTTTAGATTCTGTTTGGGGTGCTGATTCAGAAAACTGCATTGGATAGACCACATTAGCTCTAGTTTCTGATACAGAACATATGCCATGGTCAGCGACAGGGAAGGGCAGGTAGTGTGAAAGGAGTGGAAAATAAATAAATAAAAAATAAGGAGGCTTGCAGACCAGATTTTCATCCTTGCAGCCCACTGGTGTTCCGCAGCCCACAGGTTAAGAACCACTGAGATAAACACTCAATATCAGCCACATTTTGACACTGAATTTCATCTGCAGGGAAAATATATTTTAGAGATACTTTGTTGTTTTCTGGAACAGCTTAGTTTCTTATTTGAAAAAAATATACTTAATAGAAATTATACAGAGAAATGAGAAGAAGAACTCATGTATGTCTAAGAGGCTTATTTGGGTCATGGGCCAAGAGCTACAGGAATAATATTGTTTATTTTATAACGTTAAATTGAAAATGGTAATGTTACTGGACTAGGAATTGTCATATTGGACAAGAATTGAAGGGTGCCAAACAGGTTAAAGCAATACAATAATAATAATAATATCGTACTTTATTTGTAGTTTGCCTTATCTCCCCAAGGGGACCCAGGGCGGATTCCAACATATGCAGACACAAGGCAAACATGCAATATCTAGAATCAACGAAAAATAGATACACGGATAAAGATAAAGGCTTCCCATTCCAGCTCTAGGTAGGCTGTGTGTGTGCTCATCTCCTTTCTAAGCCGAAGAGCATGCATTGTCTGCAGACACCTCCTAAATAATGTGGCTGGCATGACTGTATGGAGCACCGTTTAGCTTCCTGCCAAGGCAGTACCTATTGATCTACTCATATTCGTGTATTTTCAGCTCACTAGGATGGCAGAAGCTGCAGCTAAAAATGGGAGCTCACATCTTCTCACGGATTCGAACCACCAACCTTTCGATCAGCAATTTCAGCAACTCAGTGGTTTAACCCGTTGCGCCACTGTTGCCCCTGTAATGTAAAGTAGTGTAAATTCAGACTGGAAATAAAAGTAAATAAATATTTAAATAGCAAATCACCTTATCTCTCTCCTGAGGAATCTGTATAAGGACCAAATAGCATGGTTGTATACTCTCACCCAATCTATTCAACTTGTATGCAGAATACACCCTGTGATGTGCAGGGCTTGACAAATCCAAGGCTGGGGTAAAAATTGCTGGAAGAAACATTAACAACCTTAGATATGCAGATGACACCACTTTGATGGCTGAAAGCGAGGAGGAGCTGAGGAGCCTTCTAATCAAGTTGAAAGAAGAAAGTGCAAAAACTTGGTTGCGGCTAAACATAAAAAAAACCAAGATTATGGCAACAAGACTGATTGACAACTGGCAAATAGAGAGAGAAAACATGGAGGCAGTGACAGACTTTGTATTTCTAGGTGCAAAGATTACTGCAGACGCAGACTGCAGCCAGGAAATCAGAAGAAGATTACTTCTTGGGAGGAGAGCAATGTCCAATCTTGATAAAATAGTGAAGAGTAGAGACATCACACTGGCAACGAAGATCCACATAGTTAAAGCAATGGTATTCCCCATAGTCACCTACGGATGTGAGATCTGGACCATAAGGAAGGCTGAGTGAAGGAAGATAGATGCTTTTAAAATGTAGTGCTGGAGGAAAGTTCTGAGAGTGCCTTGGACTGCGAGAAGATCCAACCAGTCTATACTTCAGGAAATAAAGCTCGACTGCTCATTGGAGGGAAGGATATTAGAGGTAAAGATGAAGTAGTTTGGCCACATCATGAGAAGAAAGGAAAGCTTAGAGAAGACAATTATGCTGGGGAAAATGGAAGGAAAAAAGAAGAGGGGCCAACCAAGGGCAAGATGGATGGGATCCTTGAAGTGACTGGATTGACCTTGAAGGAGCTGGGGGTGGTGACGGCCAACAGAGAGCTCTGTATAGGCTGGTCCCTAAGGTCACGAAGTCAGAAACAACTGAACAAATGAACAACAACAAAGCATATTTAAATAGTAGTTGAATTGAAAATAAATAACTATTGAATTAATAGTTAAAGTGAAAATTATGATTCCTGGAGTTTTCTATTACCTTGACATAGAAATCTAAGTTCAGTTGTCATTGCGTTTCCTCTTAATTGAAGCAATGAGTAATTTTAGCAATTTTCTTCCTCCTGTAAGAAGCCTTGAGAAACATGCCACTCACAAAATCTATGTGCAATTCAGCATTTATTTTGTATAAAATTTGCACATGGTTGATTTGCACAACAAATAGCATTTTCTGTACAGAAAATATTGGCTTTACAGACTGAAAATGTTGATTTCTATGTAGAAAAAATGTTTTCCTGTGCCAGACAACTACATGTAAATTGTACACAGAGGAAATCCTGAACTGCAAAGTGTATCTAAAGTTCTTTTCATTGGAGTTTCTCAACATTTGGAAAACATGTTTTTGATGGAAAACTTTGAAAATAGTTTTTAATTTCCTTTCCATCTCTACCTTGGCAATATATGCAGCAAATCTCCTTAAAAACATTTGCTAACCCACACAGACTGAAAAATACTACTTTTATCACATAATCACAAAATTCAGTTAAAAACCAGCTTTTTGAAAATATAATGAAGATGCTTTCTCTTTTAAGTGAAAGATAAAGTATTTTACCACAAGTGTCCTTTGTGATGGAAGAGAAAAAGAAAATGAGGTGGAATTTAAGAAAGTCTTGTACTATTGTTGACCTAATTGTGCTTCAACATATTTTGCAAAATGTAATGTGTATGCACAGTGGTGTGTGAGAGAAATATTCAGACTTCCCTGGCATGCAACTAAAGCAATTTTTCCAAGAAGAATGGGCAAAAATGGCAAGAGCCAGATATGTAATGTTGATAGAAACATGTACAAAAATACATGCAGTTGTTGTTGCAGTCAAAGGTACTGAGTATAAACTCCGGGGCATTGACTATGTATGTTGGCTTGGTTTTGTTTACTTAACTTTTGTGCCACATTAGAAATATTTGGCACCTTTATGCAGTTCCTTATCTTGTATACATCAAGAGGAAACAATGCTGATTACATGCATTTCAAGTTCAGGTTGCAAAAGTCTTCAAGGCGTGTCATGTATCTCTACGATACACTTGGGAGGCCATTGCAAATGTGGCCAGGAATGGCTAAAAGAGCATTTGAAAACCACTCAAAAGATACAGAGGCAACAGTTGGGCAGTAGCTTTCATAGGGGTGTGTTTGTGTGTTTCCAAGGCTCTTTTCCAACTTATGGTAGCTCTATGAGTTTTATTAGACCAACCAAATAATACCACAGAATGAACAAACTTTCATTTATGAGTCTATTCATAAGAATAGTTAGTGTTAAAGTACTAACAGTGGGTGGAAAAATAAACAGAAGAGTCTAAATATTATGCTGTGGGTTGCATTTTAGATGTAGTTTCAAGATGGAGATAAATGAAAGAATTTGTCACAAGTAGCAGAGGCCCTTTCATGCTACACAGTTATACCACAATGATTCCAATTTACCTGCATCCTATAGAATTCAATGATTTATAGTTTAGGATTTTCATCCAGAAGGCTTTCGTGCTTCTGACAAAACTGCAAACTTTAGAATTCCACATAGTACAGTCAAGACATTCAAAGTGGAATCAGTGCTATCAATGTATAGTTTTCAAAGTCCTTTAAAGAACAGATTGTACCTAGAAATACATTCTGGAACAAGAAGCAATGAGAACTGGCTTATCACAAAAACAGTGAATACTCTCTTGGTTTTGTTACCACCCCTCCTGCAGTTCTCTGAGAAGAAGATGAGCTCACCTGTCAATATGGCCCTATGGACAGGATCCAGCATCAGCACTGGGACAGCTCCCACAGAACATAGACAAGCTGTGGGAGAAGCAGTAGTAGAATCAAAATTGCGGTTCTACACTTGTATTCAGGCCACTGAGAGTTCAGATTCCAATGAAAATGCCCAGGAGCAGGCACATTTAGCAGTTGGGAGTCACCAGTAGGTGACCATTGGCAAGCCTGTTAGAAAAGCTCCTCTGAGTCAAGATGATGATGATCATCATCATCATCACCACCACCACCACCACCACCACCACCACCCAGTCCTAAAAGCTTGGGAAGTGTTCAACTTGTGATTTTGTGATACAAATCCAGCATATATCTCTCATTTGCTGTGTCATGCTGTGTTTTTGTGTCAGTAAAATAATAATATTAAACTTTATTTATTTTGTGCCCTTCTCCCCATGGGGACTCAGAGCAGCTTACAATATATATAAACAAATACAGACAAACATTCAATGCCTTGTTACAATGCTGCTCTAAGTCCCCTTTGGGGTGAAAAGGGTGGGATATAAATATGGCAGATAAATAAATAAATGCAATGAGACACACATACACAGATAAAGGCAAAGGCTTCTCCTTTAATTTCCGGCACTGGAGGCAGTGGTCATCTCTGGCACTGAGGGAGGGATTCTTCTCCATTTCCAAACCGAGAAGCCTGCATTGTCACCTCCTGGTCATGTGACTGGCATTACTGCTTGAAGCATCTTTATGCCTTTCACACCAAAGTGGTACTTATTTATCTACTCACATTTGTTTTCAAAGTGCTAGGTTGGCGGGAGCTAGGGCTGACAGCAGGAGCTCATCCCGTCCCACGGATTCAAACTGCCAACCTTCAGGTCAGCAGTTCAGCAGCACAAGGGTTTAACCCATTGTGTCACCACAATGACTTTGGATTGAGCAGGAAACAGACCCCAAACTCTGCATGAAGGAATCTGAGGAAAGGTCTCTTCTTTTCCAAATGAACATTGGTCCCCAAACTAGGATCGTCTATATACAGAAAATAATGTATTATCAAAGATTTGGTATTCATTTAAGTTTTATAAACAGAAACCCAATAGAAGCCTAGTGATCAATGTTACAAACTTAAATCATATGTCTTCATTTCTACATTCCTGGTTTTACTTTCTTCGTTCAGCGAGGTAAACACAGCAGTGATTGCAGCTCTCCTTTTCCTTCTAATACAACTTGTTAAACACACTTCTGGAGCAGTTTTGCTTGATTTTCATACCACACTGCATGAGAGAAAGAGGAGGATTTGTATTATATTATGAGCCAATGAATTCCAATTAAATGATTATATGTTCCCTTGAGTTGCCTTAGCATCAGTCTGTGTGCATAAGCAGTGAGCATAGCAAACAAGGAGGCTTCAAATTATCCTACTGAGGATGAAGTATAGATAAAAAAATGACTCTGTATTATGTCCAGAAGAAAGAGGTAGGAGATGCTTATAAATCAGAATTGTATTTCCAAGGTGCTCTAAAACCTGAGAGGGAGCTTGACCCTGAAAAGCAAAGCAAACTTTTCCCCTAATGCAGTGTTTCTCAACCTTCCTAATGCCGCGACCCCTTTATACAGTTCCTCATGTTGTGGTGAGCCCCTACCATAAAATCATTTTTGTTGCTACTTCATAACTGTAATTTTGCTATTGTTATTAATCGTAATGTAAATATCTGATCTTCAGGATGTATTTTCATTCACTGGACCAAATTTGGCACAAATTCCCGTGGGGGGGGGGGTTGATTTTATCATTTGGGAGTTGTTGTTGCTGGGATTTACAGTTACCTACAATCAAAGAGCAATTTGAACTCCACCAGCGATGGAATTGAACCAAACTTGGCACACTGAACTCCCAAAACTAATAGAAAATACTGGAGGGCTGTGGTGGGCATTGACTTTGGGTTTTGGAGTTGTAGCTCACGTACATCCAGAGAGCACTCTATACTCAAACAATGATGGATCTGGACCATATTTGGCACAAATACTCAATATTCCCAAATGTGAACATTGGTGGAGTTTGGGGGTAATAGACATTTGGGAGTTGTAGTTGCTGGGGTGTATAGTTCACCTACAATCAAAGAACCCCTTGAGCCCCTCCAATGATAGAATTAGGCCAAAGCTTCCATACATAATCCCCATGTCTTGAAGGGACTCACTGGCATGACCCTCCCTCCAGTCTCGCACGCTCTCCCTCGCCCACACATGCGCACCTTGCTGCCATGCACCAAGCACACCTGCTCTCCTCTCCCTGCTTGGAGTCTCAGAAACAGCCCTCTCCTTGGCTGAGAGGCCAGCCAATCACAACAGAGGAGGGTTTTGGTGGGAGGATTCGCTGTCTGTTTCCAAAAAGGAAGAGGAGATTTTCAACCTTCTCTGCCAAAGGGTTTCCTAAGACCATCAGAATTATATGCTTTCTGATGTTCTTTGGCGACCCCTCTAAAGCCCCCATCGCAACCACCCAAGGGTTCTGACCCCCAGGTTGAGAAACACTGCCCTAATACCATATTCTAATTGCCATTGTGTCTCTTAATCCACCCTTTGATTGCCTAATATTTAAAGAATCAATATCACATTTGAGATTAATTAACAAAAACTGGAATGTAAGGTCACTTTCCATCTAGAGTATGATTCTCACAGCTTCCTCTTCCATGCAAAGAAGCTGTCGTGTCTTCCCCCCCTCCCCCCCCCCACATTTAATAGAATGTTTTAATCCCAGCAAAGGAAATGTGTCAAGGTTCAATAAAGTGCTTTATATTACCATATCATTGCAGTGGTTCTGTGTGGTGCTTTCATATATTTCATATATTTGTATCATCTCCTCTTTGGTCTGTTTCTGTGTGATATTGTAACTGCTTTTGTAATTCCTCAAACCCTGTTGCAAGAGAAAAAGAACAGGTTTCACATAAAAGTACCATTGAGTCGGTGGCAAAATTCACTGTTACATATCTTTTGAAATTCTGCACAAATACTGAAATGGGATCTTTCGGTTCTTTCCATGGTAACCCTCCTGTTGTTTCACTTTGTTGACAGTGGAAGGACTGAAAGTGGTGGAAATCGAAAAGTGTAAGAGTGACATAAAAAAGATGCGAGATGAAATGGCAGCAAGAAGCAACAGGTAAGTTTTCCCCTTCCCTCTTTTTTGGGAGTTGGGGAGATCCTTGAGGAAGGCAGCGTTCCACTTGAATAATCCTCTTACAGTGTTAACATAAATGTTTACTTGGAATCAAATCCTACTGAGTTCATTTCTTTCCTGGATAAATGTGCATAGGATTGTAGCTGAATAAACGTTAGTTCATTTGTAATTGATGGGCGTCTGGGTCTTTTTTAAAATGATGCCAGAAGTCCCTGTAGTTAGTAGCCTTAGTATCAAGATGGCACACACTTGTTTCGTCTAAGAATATATGGCAATGTTATAGTTAAATATTATTGCTCCAGATGAGTTTGTGGCAGAATAACTCTCAGAGAGATTAACATCTTGGCTTCCCTATGTTTACCCATCTGGTAATAAGGAATTCTGGCCCCCGTTTTATGTATAGAACAAAAATTTCTCCTGCCAAGAAAAACAATTTTGGTAAGAGGTTCTCATTTTAAATGGACCTCCTCTGATATGAAATGTAATCTGAGAAAATATCTTAATATACACACAGCAGCTCCTCTTGTTAGGGCCTTAGTACTAACAGAGAATATGCATGTTATAATCTCATCATAAAAATGAGGTATTTCCTTTCTGATGGAAGAAGACTACTAATCCAATATATTACCAAGTTTGGATGTACAATTCAAACAAGAGCAGAAGCAATCATTGCTTGCTATGGTCAACTGCAATCAGCTTGGAATGCCAGTCTTTCCCTGTTGCTAACATCCTTTATTAAGTAAAAGCATGTTGACAGCTAAGGCATATTGAAAGCTGGAGAGTAGAAAACAGTTTCAAAGCTTGACAGTTAGCTTAATGTCTGGACAAAGGCATGCCTGCAATGCAAAGCTAAATTAAACTGAGGGTGCATCTACACCAGGCATGGGCAAACTTGCCCCCTCCAGGTGTTTTGGACTTCAACTCCCACAATTCCTAACAGCCTACTGGCTGTTAGGAATTGTGGGAGTTGGAGTCCAAAACACCTGGAGGGGCTAAGTTTGCCCATGCCTGATCTACGCTGTAGAAATAATCCAGTTTGAAACACTTGAACTGCCATGGCTCAGTGCTATAGAACAGCTTTCCCCTTTGTTTAGGATTGCAAGCCACCCTTTCTGTTGGAGGCAGAACACTTATCTCTCCACCCTCTCCAGATGAGACAGAGAACATTTTTTCTATCCCCCCCCCCCCTTCTCCTTCCTTTGTGCTACTATTCTTTTCTTATCATGATCCCATCTCTAAAGCTCCCAGAGCCTGCATGTCCACCTGCAAACACAGCTGGAGCTTAAGAATATAATAAAAAGATAGAGAAAAAGATATAATGTAACCCCTCGTACTGGTGAGTTTTAAAAAAGAGTAAATTTGCCTGTAAGCTAAGTACTTTATTTCAATGATCTGATCTCAGGTGGAATGTGGAGAATCAACTTGCAGGAAAGAAACTTGTGGCATACCCATCTAACTGTCCCAAATATCTACATGTCTCCTTTTTCAGCCGTGAAATATTGGAGGGTATGCCATGCTTCCTTTTTAGAGCCTACTTTTTATTGTGCACCTAAGTAAAGGTAAAGGTTTCCCCTTGGCATAAAGTCTAGTTGTATCCCAACTCTGGGGCGTGGTGGTCATCTCCATTTCTAAACCAAAGAGCCAGCATTGTCTGTAGACCCCTCCTAGCTCATGTGGCCGGCATGACTGCATGGAACGCTGTTAACTTCCCACCGGAGTGGTACCTATTGATCTACTCATATTTGCACGTTTTCAAACCGTGAGGTTGGCAGAAGCTGGGGCTATCAGTGAAAGCTCAGCCCACTCCCCAGATTCAAACCCCCGACCTTTCCGCCAGCAAGTTCAGCAGGTCAGCGGTTTAACCCGCTATGCCACCGAGGGCCTCTGTTGTTCACCTACAGAATACAACATCTAAATATCTGAAGAATATATTTTTAAATGGCAATTTCAGTATAATGAGTGTGGAAGAGTGTGTGTAGTTATGATTTTAAAAGGAGCCTGTGATGACAGCATGATCTCCCATCACTGCAGCATTATTCTGTGGCTCTTGACATGTATGTGCAAGCAATGACCCCGACCTGCCAAACTCCTGCTTTTCTCATAACTGCTTTTCTCATAACTGCATTCACATATACCACTGGATAGGATTATAAACAATGTGCATAGTGTTCATTTGTATGGGAATGGAAAACCTCTGGATCATGTTCTACATCACTGCTTCTTAAACTGTGGGTCCTGATCCTAAGTGGGGTCCTGCTAGCTCAGTGTTGGGGTCACAAAAATATTGGCAGGAGTAAAAGGTTTCTGAATGCAATCTAAAGTAGCTGCTTTCGACATTTATACAAAACTGTTACCAACAACAGTGGCTTCTGCAGAAAATGTTTCAGCTGAAGCTCATAAAAAGGGGAAATCAGCCTGTTTAGCAAGGCTTGAAAATACTGGTTTATTATCAGTGAAAGTTCGGTGTTTATGCCTAACCTATATACCTGGGGATCATGTGAAAAAATTGGGGCAGAAAGGGGAGTGGAAAATGTTTAAGATTTTCTACACAAGATAAGACCTATGGAGATTTCTTATCTGGAAAGGTTTTTTTTTAATTTTTTTATCATCAGCTCTGATCAGTAATCAGAAAATAAAAGGGTATTTAAGATATTGAAAATTTAAAAAATTGTACTCAGATGTAAGCTGGGCTAGAGAATTTTGCAGTTATAGTTCCAAAAAGTAATTATTCCAAGCTCTGGGACTGGCACAATATCACCTCATATTTGAGGGATAAGACAGGGATAGAAATAAGGAGTGGCTGTGGAGATAGGAAATTTATTATACTGGAGGAACAAATAAAGGAAAGCTCAAGTTCTTTAAGGATAGTGGAGATTATCCTTTCCTGCTTTAGCATTAGTCCTGCATCAAAAAATACAGGCTCAACATTTGATCGAGTAGTTTACATTCTCTATGCATCTGGTTTTTCTAAGCAGCTGGGAGAAGTCTTTCTTTGCAAAGTTGCACATGCTGCAGCTGATGTTCCCTCACTTCATAATTATGTGTTGAGATTCTAAGTGGATTTCATTTTGGTTCAGATTATGCTGAATTAATGTATTCCTCACTTTTCAACTCTGCTATTACCATTTAGAAGGTGTATAAGCTATAGTACTGAGATCTGTCTTAGAGTATTTTTATTTCCTTAGTGAATAACTTATCTGTCCCGTTAATGGGTTACTTTAACTTTTACATTGACTGTTGAATTCCAACAAAGAATCCCATAGTACGAAAAATGTTATGAAATGTATTAAAACATGAATTACCCTTACACTTTAAAAAAAAGTGTAGTATATAAGTATATTGTGAATTGGCATATTTGACTCAAGCTCTAGAATTCTAAAAATTGAAAAACTCAGGAGAAAACATTAAATTATGGGAAGATCTGAGCAAATTACACCCCGGTTTTTAAAATAATAAAACCTTTGGAGTCTTCTGGTGTGGGACCAAGAAATTGTGACAAATGAATCCCAAAAAGAATGGATTGACACAGAAATGAAAACAACCAGCAAAATCCAAAGAGTTTAATAGCTTTTTAAGGCCAATCTGGGAAGCCCCAAGGTTGATTTCTGATCATTGAATCCCTGATCCTGATCTCATGGTGTTATATGTAACATCTTGTCTACAAATAATTTTAAGATACAACTGTAATCCCACTACAGTTCGGGCCCAGTCTATTTGAAAAACTGCATCTCTGTATACAAACCAGCAGGAGTGCTGTGATCTGTGGAGGAGGTCCTCCTCTTAGTCCAACCCTCATCTCAAGCGTGGCTGGTGAGAATGAGAGAGGGGGCCTTCTCCGTGATTGTTCCCCACCTCTGGAACTCTTTCCTTAAAGAACTAAGATGGCACCCTCTCTCCTCTCCATTAAAAAGCTCCTAAAAACACATTTATACACTTTAGTCAATGGAGAGGAGAAGGACTAATTACACCATATGTACATACATACATACATACACACACACACACACACACACCACCTAGTTGTTGAACAGCTATCTTTGTTAGTCTGCTGTGTGCCATCTTAACTCCAATGATTTTAGTCAATTTTAAGAGTTTTAAAGAATTGAATATGTGGTAAATGTGTGAATGTATCATGTCATGTTTATTAAAGTCGCTAATATATAATTTTTATTGAGTTTGTTTTTGACTTGTTATATGTTATTCTTGGCATTGAATGTTTTCCACTGTGTTTTATTTTGTTGTAAGCCACCCTGAGTCCCTCCAGGAAGTTAGGGTGGGCTATAAATAAAACATCATCATCATCATCATCATCATCATCATCATCATTGTCGTCTTACAAATAGGAACACAAATGTTATGTGTGACAGCAGCTAAACTTTGCCTATTTTCTAACGACAGTTTTGCTGTTTCCTGGGAAACAGATGGAAGTGCTGTCCTGACAGGACCTTCCTATGCAACCTTCGCATTCACAGTATTCATTTCTTCTGTTTCACACAAATCAATGGAAAACATCAACTCCATTCTCCCCTCTCCAGTCAGTTCAAGGAAAGATAAGACTGTAAAAACAATACAAGTCCTCCTACTTCCACAATATTCTACTCATGGCTATCTGCACATCTGTGATGCATGACAGCAATTAAACTTTGCCATTTTCTGATGACACATTTTTTTCATTTTGTTTCCTGGGAAACAAAATGAAACAAATTAATGTCCCTGCCAAGGTCTTCCCTCCAACTTTCACATTCATGACATTCATGTCTTCTTTATTGTTTCACAAAGCTCAATGGAAGACATCAACTCTATTCTCCTCACTCTGTTAGTTCAAGAAAAGAGAAGACAGTTATAACAATGCAAGTTCTCAAACTTCCAAATTATTCTGCACACTTCTATCGATAGCCTTATACAGATGGGTCTTGCAATAGCAGTTGGGTCAAAGACATTCACAGCAAGCATTGTCTATTGCTGTGAGTCACTCATTTATTTCCTCACATGAAAAGGAAAGGTTCTGGTGCAGGGGGGAGGATTTGTCCTAGACCTTCACAGAATGAGCAAAATGGCAAGTAGTTCTGTGTTTCCCAGGCAACATGGCTCAACAGCGTCCAGAAATGGTGAAAGCCAGTGAGGTACTGTAGCTTAACCCATTACATAGATGTTGAACAAGAAATAAATTAAACAGTTGGCCCACTATGTTATTGGTCTGACCAGTAGACTCTTATGCCTTTAATGAATGGAGGAGCAATGCCATGGTTGCCAAGGGTCAATTCCCAGCCCTCACTCTCAACCTGCCACAGAGTGCACCTCCCTACCAAATCAAAATACTTCAATTTTCCTCTACAGTCCATCTCAAAATGGCAACAGAAAATGATGTGACACAAGAAGCCTCTAGTAGCCGCCTTCTTCCTGGAGAGATGTGACTACTCTGGTGCCACAGGATCCTATTCTGAGCCCAATATTATTACAACATCTTTACAAATGACTTCAGTGATGGAATAGAACAGTAGTTCTCAACCTCTGGGTTGGCCTACAATTCCCAGAATTCCCAGACAGTTTACCAGGTGTTAGGTTTTCTGGGAGTTGAAGGCCAAAACATTTGGGGACCAACAGGTTGAGAACCACTAAAATAGAGGAACTTGCAGATAATGCCAAATTAAGAGGGGTATTACCTAAAACCTCAGAGGACAGGATCAGAATTCAAGATAACCTTAGAGTGCTGCCCCAAACTACCAAAATTATTTTCAAGGCGGGAAATGTAAGTTACTACATATAGGAAGAAAAAAATGAAATGCAGATATATAGGATGGGTGACACCTAACTTGACATCAGTATGTGTAATAAGGATCTAATAGACCTAGTAAACCATAAACCGAAGATAAGTCAACAGTGTGATGTGGTGTCTTAAATCCCAAAAATGACAGTTATGCCTTCCTTCTACCCCGTTAGCTTTAGACAGTTCTGTGAGGGTTGGTAAATGTGAATAAATAGAATAAGCAAAAGCTTTACCACAGTATTTAAACCCAGGTATATCCTGCAGTATAATAAAATGTCACTCAGGCTTGTGAAACAAGTAACGGTATGTTTACTTTGGTTTAAAGGTTCAAACAGGGTTACAATATATACATCAATCTCTTTGAATTCAGATGGAGATCAGAGGAATAAAACAGTCCTTTTAAATAGTTTTTAAAACAAGTCTAATGCCTTAAAATGATCGGTCTTTAAGATAGTTGGCAGCCAGCACTATCTCTTCACTGTCCAATGTGAGAAAACTGGCAGAATGACAGTTAGAACCATTGGTCTCAGCAGCTAGCCAGAGACAGCAGCCAATCGGAATCCTGGCTCCTGTCATGCTCAGCCAATCAGCTGCTGACATATCTCCCTCCAGTTAACCCACCGTATCATGACGTCCTTTTTCAAATCCTCACAAGTTCAACATGAGGTTTCTTTCCTTGTCTTCTGATGAGTTTTGTAATTGCCTTGTCACATTGGTAACATCACCTTGCTTATATCAGAATACTACTCTTCAATCAGAAGATAGGGAAGTTAAGGGCCCAACTTGCAAAAGGAAAGACTAAATGGCAAATTATATTAAGCATGTGAAATGCAAATAAATATCACTTTTTGACTTAGTAACATTGGTAAACATTTGATGCCTGAGAGTTACAGTTCCTTATTTAATTAGAAACATGGAAATATTGTTCCAGGATTACTGAAACAATACTTGTTGATCCATTGTGAAGTATGGGGACCAGAATTTTGAGTGAGGTCATCTCAAGCACAGCCAACTTCTTAGATTGTGTCTCAAGGCTCAAAATATAATAGTTGTTTGAACAGCTGCAGGCACTTCTTGTTTTCATATGTAGTTCCATTGGTGAGAATAATTGTTCTGGCTGGTCTTGCAAATAAACCTAGCATTTCATAATGTCATGTGAAAATTTACTTGCAAAAATAGAGAGTTTTGTAACTGTTAAGGACTGGATTTTATTTTGTACACAGGACGAACTGCCCATGTAAATACAGTTTTCTGGATGATAGCAAGAAGCTGATACCTCGAAAAGATGTGCCATCCTATCCCAAGGTACGATGAGATATATAAAAAAAATTTAACTTCATAACACTACAGCTGTTAATAACAGTTAAAATGCCTTATGTTCCATATTCTTCTATCCTGTTTCAGTCCTGTGCTTCCATTACCTTAAGTGGACTTTTTCATCAGAAAGGGGATGTATGGAACATATACATGCTACAATAACATAGCTTCTTGAATGAAAGGTTCCAACTGATGCCAATAGCAGCTTCAGTTGGGAAGTATCAGCATTTTGGGCAGATGGGGACATCAAAAGAGCAGTTATTGCTTCTCTCTATATATGTTAGTTTTGATAAAAACTGGGGCTCCATGTATCTGCTATTTGTATTTCTCACTTTGTAAGTAGGGGAACCTAATGAAATCGATAAAAATGCAGTTAATGTCCCACCTGGCTGGGTCTCAATTTTTTTTTGAGCTTTTTATTGTTATTTAATAGCAAAGATGAAGCAAAGATCTTCATTTTGTATCTTTTAATATTCTGGGCATTTGAAGGCAAACATTTGAATGGCACTCTCACCTCTAATTAACATGAAAACCTGAATAGAAGACAACCTGAAATGAATCATTCAAGAGGCTAGCCTAAAGATACACTTGATATGGTTGCCTGCTGTAACACTTGCTTTTCCTTCATTCTCTGCAGTACATGCTATCTCAAGAAACAATAGAAGCTCTCAGGAAACCAACTTTTGATGTTTGGCTATGGGAACCCAACGAGGTAACCTCTGACCTCCCATCTTATATATTCTTCTGTGTGTCTGTTCATTAGTGTATGAGTGTAGGATGCTGTGCACCTTGCTTAAACAAAGGATCTTAAGGAGTGAGGGCATTTTTACCCACCACTTAGTAAAACCGTAACAGGACTTCATCTTACTGTCTGTTATTTCCTTCTGAATTCTAACCTGCTCACCATTTTATGATGCAACATCAGGTCTATATATATATATATATATGGAGCCCCCGATGGTGCAGTGCGTTAAACCCCTGTGCCAGCAGGTCTGAAGACCGACAGGTCGCAGGTTCGAATCCGGAGAGAGGCGGATGAGGTCCCTCTATCACAGGAGTCCTCAAACTTTTTAAACAGAGGGCCAGGTCACAATCCCTCAAACTGTTGGAGGGCCGAATTATAATTTGAAAAACCAATGAATGAATTCCTATGCACACTGCACACATCTTATTTGTAGTACAAAAAACCTTTAAAACAATACAATAATTAAAATGAAGAACAATTTTAACAAATATAAACTTATTAGTATTTCAATGGGAAGTGTGGGCCTGCTTTTGGCTAATGAGATAGGATTGTTGTTGTGTGTTTTCAAGTCATTTCAGACTTAGGTTGACCCTGAGCGAGGGCCGGGTAAATGACCTTGGAGGGCCATATCCGCCCCCCAGGCCTTAGTTTGAGGACCCCTGCTCTATCAGCTCCAGCTCCTCATGCGGGGACATGGATGGTAAAAACATCAAAACATCCGGGCGTCCCCTGGGCAACGTCCTTGCAGATGGCCAATTCTCTCACACCAGAAGCGACTTGCAGTTTCTCAGGTCGCTCCTGACATGACAAAAAAGGTGTGTGTGTGTATATATATATATATATATATATATATATATATATATATATATATAATTTAATGTTCGTTTGTGGGATTAACATAACTCAAAAACCACTGGACAAATTGACTTAAAATTTGGTCACAATACACCTGTCAGGCCAACAAGTGACCATCACTCATTAAAACACTGAAAAACACAGCAGAAGAGACTTAAAAAGCCAAAAATTTTAAAAATACATTACAACGCATGCGCAAAACCACATATATACACATATACACAAATACACACACTCACACATATATATACAAACACAAAGCACATATACACAGACTGGGCCACAGCAATGCATGGCAGGGGACGGCTAATGTGTGCGTGTGTGTATCTCCTATAGTTGAGTTTAGAATTTATTTACACAGTGGTTCTCCATTCAAAATAGACCTTTTCCAGCTTATTTCCATTCCTTTGTAAATTAACATAATTATTATACTAATTTAAATATTTAAAAATGATTCTGACATACTATACTGGGAAGAGTGGATTAGATACCACCCTAAAATTGCTTTAAATTTACTGATATTATATATAAGGATATTACCTCAAATATTTGATAAACAGCTTTTGGTCTAAAATTATTCAGCGCCTTGTATTCCCACTATCTTATTAATTATATGCTAATTTATTTATGCAATGCATTTGACATGAAATAAACAAAGCAGTGATTTAGATACAAATTTAGGAAAGGGGGCAATAAGGGAAAATGTATTTCAAAAGAATGTTAATAGCTTCTTTTGTATTATGCAATTATGATACTATGATGCCGCTTTAACTCTATGGCTACATCCTAGATCCTGGGATGTGTAGTTTGGTGAGGCATTACAGTTCTCTATCTAGTCCCTGCCTAAACTTCAAATTACAAGGTTCCATAGGATGTAACCATGGTAATTAAGGTTGTATCATAATGCTACAGTGGAAGGACAACTTGTATTTGATAGAAACAGCCAGAGCATGTAACTTGATTGTTTTATATTCCCAATCCGAGAATCTCCCGTAAGCCTCTAACCATGCTGGCTGTGAGGATATTAGAAGATTAATCCAAAAATATAGCATTTCAAAACAACAGTTGAATACATAATATTTTTGTCTCTTTTTGCTTATAAGGAGTTACATAAACCAGTGCAAACAGTGCCATTATCTAGCTAGATTTACTCTCCTGAACAAAGCTTATGTTACAACTGTGGAACAACCTGCCGGAAGAACTCCGACAGCTAAATGAGCTGTAGGAAGCTTAAAACCATGTAAAGATCTATCTCTTCCGGCAGGGTTAACCAGACACTTTAAACGTAAACCTTAAGTGTCCTTTGTTTGATCTCTGTTTGTGTGTTTTAGTATGTATTTTGTAGAGATACGTTTTGATGTGTAACTTTTATGAAGGTACGTTTAGTGTGTGCATTTGTAGTGTTTTTACTGTGCTTATATATTTTAATTGTTTTGTAACTGGCTTTGAGCCATGAGGAGAGGCATGTAAGAAATCTATTATTATTATTATTATTATTATTATTATTATTATGTCAGATCCTTCAATTATATTACTACTTAAGTATTAAATGGGAGGATTGAATAGTGTGTATTGAATGAGAGTGTAAAATGTAGTCCTGTAACAACCATAGAATAACCATAGAATATGAGGTAATAATAATGGTTGGAATCAGCTATCATAATATGTGTGTTGTTGAAGGCTTGCATGACCAGAATCACTGGATTGCTGTGAGCTTTCCAGGCTGTATGGCCATGTTCCAGAAGCATTCTCTCCTGACATTTCACCCATATCTATGGCAGGCATCCTCAGAGGTTGTGAGGTCCTCACAACCTCTAAGGATGCCTGCTGTAGATGTCGGTGAAACGTCAGGAGAGAATGCTTCTGGAACATGGCCATACGGCCCAGAAAACTCACAGCAACCCTATCATCTGTGTTACATATCTTACGTAGACATAGTGACATAGTAAAGGTGTTAAGATACATGACAGGACATCAGCAAGAGTGTCCCAGTATACATTGGGCTCTAATGCTGTGCATCAGCACTCCCTAGCTGATACCCCAATGCCCACTGGTCCCATTCCACATTTGTGCCAATGCACATTGATCAGTTTGCCACCTTTTGTATGTAGTAATACAACAACAGCCCCGTCCTGGACACAGACCTTACAGAACTGCTCAATTCCAATTCTGTCAGATGTAAGTCCACTTACAGAGACAAAGGTTGCCACCATTCTTGCTGATAATAGTCCTTTATGGGTATTTTAAAACAACATTAGAGTATTTTAAAGCATTATATTTGGAGGGGGATATCCTTATTTTCTATGGGAATTTTATTTCAAAGAAGACCTAAGGCACATGTGTCAAACGCAAGGCCTATGGGCCAATTGCAGCCCACATCATTTTATGTAGCCCTTAAGGCTTTCGGTTCCAAGGCAACATAGTTACGTTTATACAGTATAATCTTGCTGTTATACTGCTGATGTGGCCCTCTGTGAAAATCAGTTTGACACTCATTCCCCTGTTTTAGGAGGATTTCATAAATGTGTGGACATGATTTCCTCTTTGGAGGACTCTGGAATTTGCCAAAATGGCTTTGGAGCAGCCATATGTAGAACATTCTTCAAAGCTTAGAAGAGTCTGAATCTGTTTATTAGCAGAAGCAGAATATTTGTATTGTTTTTCTTTCAAATGAGAGGAGGTTTTTGGAGGCAGGGATTGGGGTAGAATTTTAGTGTGTCTGGTCCGTGAAAGAGCATTAAGCCTTGCTCTCAGACAGTGATTTATCCAAAGCTGTTGAATGAATTTTAGGAATTAGAAACTTAAACCCATTTTCAGATTTAGCATGCTTCAGAGCTTCCAGATGTTATTTCTGTAGAATGCAGTTTTCAAAATCTAATACTAGGAGTTGCAGTCCCAAAACAGATTTTTTAAAGCTCTGTGCTCGATGCATTAAGCAGTTCTTTCTATCAGACTGTGCAGTGTGTTTTAAATGTATGACAATATGAATAAGATAAAAAATAGCCTTACAATTCTTTTCCACCCTCAGATGCTGAGTTGCTTAGAACATATGTATCATGATTTAGGATTAGTGAAAGACTTCAACATCAACCCTATCACATTGAAAAGATGGCTGGTAAGACTTTACATGATTTGAATGAAGTTTTAAAATATTTGTAAACTTTTAAAAGACTTGTCAAAGTGGACTGATTCTGACTTGTATCTAATGACTTAGCCAAATGAAAAGTAATCCCCTTGTTACAATACTCAAAATATATTAAAGTAATCTTTTGTTGAACATAAGAACTGCAATGCTGCCATCACCTAGGACTGATCTCAGGCATTTTAATCAATTATTTAAATCAGTGGTTCCCAAATCTGTTGTCCATGGACCACCAGTGGTCCACAAGAACTAAAATACGGTCCGCAGCCTCACCATTAATTCATCATTGCAAAGAGAGTGACTGGTCTCATGAAACCCTCTTATAGTGCCAAGGCTTATTGAATATGGTTTTCTGTGGGCGAGCAAATGGCGACTACGGAATGGCATATGTTCTATATCAGAAACTAGAGCTGATGTGGTCTATCCAATGTAATTTTCTGAATCAGCACCCCAAATAACCAAATCAAATCTAAAGTTGAAAAAAACTAATTCGTAACCCTTTTGGTACTAATATTGGAGAGTGGTCCCAGGGCAAGTGGTCCCTGGTCAAAAAAAGGTTGGGAACCACTGATTTAAATAAACTATTGTCATGAATACTTTAAAACCAAAGGTTCTCTTTATTGCAATTTCAGTGTGACAGACTATATCAGAACAACTTTTACACAAAGAACAACAACAGACATGCAGATTGTATATGACTACATTGGATACACAGACTACAGCCACATTTATTTATTATTATTTATTTACGATATTTATAGCCTAACTTTCTCAGCTATATGGCAACTCAAGGCGGGTTACAGGTTGGCACAAATTCAATACCATACATTCATAAAAGAGCAATTAAAAACAATCAACATAACAATATATAAAAGCCAATAAAACATGTAGTCTCTGGTGTCATTTTGAACCACCGGTGTCATCCTGAGCTAACAAACAAAGGGGGTTTTACCTCATCTATTCTGCATTCACACACATATACACATTCAATCATCATCATGCATACCTTACCATCTCCTCTTCCTTCTCCTGGAAAAGAGAGCTGCACATAGGCCAAATTGCATTCCTTGCAAATCCGCCATTCTGCAAATACCCCATTTTCCTCTGTCCCTTGGAGATCGGTGGATGAACCAGACTCCTCCGGTCTGCCACAATTTTTAGATTGTAAAATTCGGATTTGTTTTTGTTTTTTTGTTTTTTTCCCCCAAAATAAATGTTCTTTTTATCTTCATGGGCCATTCTATGTTTTTCATGGATTTACATTGTTTTTACTTTGAGATGTTTATATCAATGCCTGCAACACCGTCCAAATGGTCTGAAAATCATGCAGTTACATTGTGCACTGAGTAAATTTCTAAATATGAAAATAGATAAGACTGTAATTCTACATCTCTGTACATGAATTTCAGAAGAAATCTAAATCACTCCAGTTTTTGCGTGACCGGGGAGCCCTCCGCTTCCCAAACCATTAGAACTCAGTGAGCACCAGGCAACAAACAGAAGATAAGCTTTGGTTTTTCTTTCTTTCTTTAAGGGCTATTATTTCTATTACTTGCAGTTGCTGGGACACAGAAATTATGAATGTAAAAACAAATGCCCTGGAAAAAAATCCTTTAGTAATTAGGTAGCTAGGCAAAGGAAGGAGTCTTTAGATCCTGAAAGGTAATCTATCCTCCAACCATTCCAGAGTGCCCTCATTAATCTCCTTAGAACCATGGCTTAGCTTCCATCTATTTGATTAACAATTATCTTTCTTAAATTATAATGTAAGCAACAGGACAATTGCACTGTCTTAATACATGCTTTGAACATGGTAATTATCCTGTATCTGGGGGGAAATGGTTCATTCTTTGGTGAATCAAACCATCCTTGTTCCTGAAGCCTCAGCAGTCTTCATTCCTGATTTGGGATTGTCTGAGTCAGTGGTTCTTAACCTGTGGGTCCCCAGGTGTTTGGACCTGCAACTCCCAGAAATCTCAGTCAGTTTAACAGCTGTTAGGATTTCTGGGAGTTAAAGACCAAAACATCTGGGGACCCACAGGTTGAAAACCACTGATCTGAGTGGTTTTGCATGTTTGAAGACTCTGTGAGAAATGGTGGTTCAGGAACTGTGCAAAGATAGCATTTAAATCGCTGAATGTTATAATGTTTCCTTCCAGCATCACTGAAGCAGAGAAGTTGGTCATTTTGACCATGGTTTGCCTTTTCTCTAATCTTGCAAAGTGGTATACAGCCAAATGATTGAGGTCACAGTGACACCAAAGAAAAGAAATGGAATGAGGCCACTTATAAAATGAACAAGCAGATGGGGATAACAGTGCTTTTTGAAAACCTGCTTTTTCTCAAAATGGGCCAAAGTGAGACAAAGCAAAACAAACTCAACTTTTTCTCCCATGCTGCAAATGTATATCTCAGTAACAATGGATTTCTCAACTTCAAAATTCAAATAGCATTAATTACAGGATCAATCTATTAATAATTGAGATTCCATATCAAATCCTTAATCTCCTTATTAATTTCTCCCTCTATTTCTTTATAGCTGTGTATTCATGACAATTACAGAAACAATCCATTCCATAACTTCCGACATTGCTTCTGTGTTACCCAGATGATGTACAGCATGATCTCACTCTGCAACCTCCAGGTGTGTTGTCTTTTTTTCCTATCAGCTTTAACTTTTCCCATCTCCCTTGTCTCTAGAAAAATAGGCTTGCATTCAGCAAGTGTCATGAAATCCATAGCATTTTGCCTACAGTACTGCCCCCCCCCCCAGCCCCCCCCCCCAGCTGTGGTAGTTGTTCATTTAGTACTGAAAGACATAGGCTATCACTCATAGCTGAGTTTGATTGCCTCTGAATTGTAGAGTCTTGGTGTTAGGTCCATAGGTGACTATAAGGACTTATACTGGAGCCACATATTCTTTCTCAATGAGGGCATCAATTTCCACATGGAATGCAGTCCCGACAAGGGTTGGCTTAATGCACATTCCTCTTAACATGTTTCTCCCTTTCACCCTCCATTCATGCCTCTTCAAATTCCACAGCACTGTTGGTAACAACTGACCTCCAGTTAGAGCACTCAAGGGCCAGAGCTTCACAGTTCTCGGTGTCTGTGCCACCGTTTTTAAGGTTAGCTTTAAGCCCATCTTTAAATCTCTTTTGCTGTCCACCAACATCCCATTTTCTGTTCTTGAGTTGGGAGTAGAGTAACTCTAGAGTAACTTTTGGGAGACGGTGATTGGACATTCAGACAACATGGCCAGTCCAGTGAAGTTGATGGTGGAAAATCATCGCTTCAGTGCTGGTGGTCTTTGCTTCTCCCAGAATGCTGACATTTGCATGCCTGCCT